TCCTTCCTTCCTTCCTTCCTTCCTTCCTTCCTTCCTTCCTTCCTTCCTTCCTTCCTTCCTTCCTTCTTTTTAAAAGAGATGTCACTGTGCTTTTCATTTGGAAAATGGATATGGTGTTTAAGTTGGCATTTGACTTTGAAATTGTATGTGAATTCAGAACATTTCCATAAGTGTAGCTATGTTAGCCTTTTCAGTGAAAGGAACACAAAATCTTTGTTAAGATGTCGCCCGCCCTTTTGTTGAATGTATTCTGATACCTCTGGTAATACAGTGCAAAGTTACTATATCACAAAGCAACAGACAGACCGGCTTAAGTACAGAATGCTGCATTGTCCAAAGGTGCTACATTTTGTTGTCCGTTAAAACGCACTGACTTGCAGTGAATGTGAACATTAAACAAACAATGAGCAAACGTTGCAGGGCAATTGAAAGGAGAGGAGGAAAAAAGTCATGTGGCCATTCTAGGCAGAAGGCCAAATTGCAGCTTTTCTCTCCCTGCCGTGTGAATTACAGTAAAATCTCCCCATCTCAGGCTTGTCTCAGGGACTGGAAGCATGACTCCCTCTGGCTCGGCTCTCTCCCTCTCCCCCCTTTCGCTATTCATCTCTCAGCCACTAGCTAATTGGTCTCCATGGTGAGAGGGGGGTGCAAGTTTTCTTCTTCTCTGGGGGAGAGAGCCCTTCTGACTGCGTGAAAACCTTGCTCCGGAAAGGAAGAGCGGCCACCACAAAAGGACGGTGTCCGTCCTCCCTCTCCTCCCTCGCTGGCTGGCTGGCTGGCTGGGTTGTGTGCAGCTTTCCGGAGATCGGCAGGGCTCTTATTCTGACAGGGCCTTCTGCCTGCTTAGCTGTTTGTGCGGGAGAGACCTTGCCAAGTTTGTGAGGCCCAAGGCTTTCTTGTGGGAGGACACAGGGCTGTCTTCATGCTCTTTGGCAATGATTAAAGTGAGGTTAGTACAAAAAAGAAAGGGGGGCTCCTTTTTCCCTCGATCTTTGTTTTTCAAACTAGATCTTGCTGTTTAAAACCAGATGGCAGCACCATATTTTCAGCTGCAATTCATTTAAACTCTTAAGTGCTGTACAAAGAAGTGTAAGAGTGGATCAGTAGCTTACTAATGGGGGAGGGGGAGGGGGGAGGCAGCCGTGCTTTTCTTCTCAAATATATACCAGCTTCATATTTCCAGCACCTCTGGATACCTTGCTCTGCCCCTGAAAGGAAAAAACCAGGACACTGACAGCAACTTTTGTGCAACAGAATTGAGCTTCCTTCTGCCCGATTTAAAATACACAAAGGTGATTGTTTTTCTGATCGGGAACAGATAGGCTCAGCTGGCGAGGTGAGGTTGTTATGGTCATGTGACCAGCTTGAGGATGTAACTGCGTTTTTCAGGCTAGGGTGAGAAGCTGTGTGGTCTTCCTTTGAATAGAGTCGCACACTACTTGTCCTGCCCAGAAGTTCATCCCTCTGATGGTTTTCAGCGTGGCTGCAAATGTTTTCCTCAGTTTGGGATACATGGCTTGGCCGCGCAATGCGTACAGCTCTCCTGGGCCATCACACGCCTCCCCAAACCACACTTCAAACATGACTCTACATCTGACGTTCTGTGTAGGTGGGGATGTTATCCGGACGTAGGAAGTAGCGTGGATGGTGTGGGTAGGCAGCTTGGGCAAAATGGCTCTATTAATTCTTGGTAAGGGACTTTAAAGCCCTTGATGAAGGCCCCTCCGAACTGTTGTATATTCAAAGTATAAGAAAATACAAGTCTGCAACATGAGAGCCATACCAGGAAAAGAAGTTTATGTTGACACTTCAGTATATGGGCTAAACTGAGAATAATCAAAAGCAGACTTGAGAAGAACTTGTAGAGACCCATCTAAATGATTGAGAAGAAAATGCAGTGTCATCAAGAGGTCATTCCAAATTTGAGGCACAGAGAATAGCCCTTCTCTTTTGCCAGCGAACTAAGTCAGGGCTTCTCAATCTTGGCAACTTTAAGATGTGTGGACTTCAACTCCCAGAATTCCCCAGCCAGCC